TCTATGACATTTTCAGTTTAAATGGAAGGCTGGTGTGCACTGTGAGGAGTTGATCACATACTGTTATGAGTTACTGGAACTGTGAAATACTCCCAACTTCAGCAGGGCATTAAATAAAGTGTTAAAACCTCCAGCAGAGCAAACAAACATGGGCTTTTTATCCACTGAAAGAAACACAGGAAAAAGGAAAAAATATTTTCAGGAAAATATGGTAGAGGATAAAACATAAAAGGTTACTCTGCTACTATTTTTATCCTATCTTTGAACTAAATGATTTGGTTGAAGTCACAGATTATTGCTTATTTACCTTTAGTGATGGAGCAGAAACTCTGCCACCCACCTCAGCTTTTACTCAATTTGCATTTTCTGAGCTGTGCCCATTTGTCCAAACATAAATTAATGAGGATTTACCACTTTATTCTTGCATAAAAACACTGTTATTTAAAACTTCACTAAGTGGCTTTCCTCCATGCAGAATGAGATACAGTCATATGAAAAGGTTTGGGCACCCTTGTTCATTTTCCTGATTAACCTTTATAAATCATTGATTGTTTAGATGAAATAATCAGTTAAATATATCATATAGGGGACAAACAGTGATATTTTAGAAGTGAAATGAAGTTGATATGATTTACAAAAAGTGTGAAATAATTGGTTAAACAAAATTAGGCAGGTGCCTAAATTTGGGCACCAAATAAAACCCTTAACTCAATATTTAGTAGATCCTCCTTTCACAGAAATAACAGCCTCTAAACACATCCTTTAGCTTCTAATGAGAGTCTGGATTGTGGCTGAAGGTATTTTAGACCATTCTTCTTTACAGAACATCTCTAGTTCATTCAGGTTTGATGGTTTCTGAGAATGGACAGCTCTCTTTAAGTGACACCACAGATTTTCAATAATATTCAGATCTGGGGACTGAGATGGCCATTCCAGAACGTTGTACTTGTTCCTCTGCATGAATGCCTTAGTAGATGTTGAGCAGTGTTTAGGGTCGTTGCCTTGTTGGAAGATGCAGACCCGGCACAGCTTCAGCTTTGTCACTGATTCCTGGACATTGGTCTCCAGAATCTGCTATTGATTGGAATCCATGCATCCCTCAACTTTAACAACATTCCCAGTCCCTGTACTGGCCACACAGCCCCACAGCATGATGGAACCACCACCAAATGTTACTGTAGGTAGCAAGTGTTTTTTTTCTTGGAGTGCTGTGTTCTTTTTCCTCCATGCATAACGGCCCTTGTTCTGCCCAAACAACTCTGTTTTAGTTTCATCAGTCCACAGCACCGTATTCCAAAAGGAATCTGGCTTGTCCAAATGTGCTTTAGCATACCTCAAGCAGCTCTGTTTGTGATGTGGGTGAAGAAAAGGCTTCCTCTGCATCACTCTCACATACATTGTGTAAAGTGTGCTGAATATTTGAACGATGCACAGTGTCTCCATCAGCAGCAAGATGATGTTGTAGGTCTTTGGTGCTGGTCTGTGGGTTGACTCTGACTGTTCTCAACATCCTTCATTTCTGTTTATTGGAGATTTGTCTTGGTCTGCCACTTCCAGCCTTGACTTGAACTGTGCCTGTGGTCTTCCATTTTCTCACAATGTTTGTCCCAGTGGAGACTGAAAGCTGAAATCTCTGAGATAACTTTCTGTATCCTTCCCTTAAACAATGATGGTGAACAATCTTTGTTTTCAGCTCATTTGAAAGTTGTTTTGAGACTCTCATGTTGCCACTCTTCAGAGAAGATGCAAAGAGGAGAAAAACTGACAATTACCTCCCTTAAATACCCTTTCTCATAACTGGAGTCACTGTGTATGGAGGTCAAGGGTCACTGAACTTACCAAACAAATTTTAAGTTCCAATTATTATTTCTAAAGATTTTGAAATCAATAAAACGGCAATGGTGCCCAAATTTATGCACCTGCCTTATTTTGTTTAACCAATTATTGCACACTTTCTGTAAATCGTATAAACTTCATTTCACTTCTCAAATATCACTGTGTTTGTCCCCTATATGATATATTTAGCTGATTTTTTTTGTCCAAACAGTCAATGATTTATAAAGGTAAATCAGGAAAATTAACATACCTGTCACTGCCAGTGATATAATCTTCTTTTATTTTTTTTGCTTATAAATGATTATGTGTGGTTGTGTTCTAGTTTGTGTTGAACATTTCAGCTCAACACACTCAACAAACCTGCTGAGAATCTGAAGTTTTGTGCACTGATTCTCAGAATCCTCTTTGTCAGTGATGTTGTACCTTGTTGTGCATTGGTTGTTTTATTTTTAATAAGACAAAAGATCTGATAATGTTTTTGCTCATATCTGTGCATGTGTATGTCTGTTAGCAAATGATCTCATTAACCAATGACTTTAAGGAAACAGGCAGAAAGTAATCATTGTACATCGACAACTGATTAACTTTTAGAGTTAGGTCAATTCAAAATGGCCGCCACAGCTAATTGACCTTTGAAAACACAAACAAAATTAATATACAGTCTACTGTTATTTGCTTACTGTTTGCATCAATAGGAAATACTGTGCATAAGCCTACACTGTGATGAGGCTAACACTTACGTCTACAACAGAGTAACCTCACTCTGTACTTCACATTTTACAAGCAATGGCTAGCTGCTGGCTAATGTAGAAAAATTGAAAGCCTATGGAAGTGTTTTTGATGTTTCAGAAGGGAGAGAGGGGATTACAATTTAAAGATAATGCTCAAGAGTTGAAAAAAAAAACAAAACTGCACTGCAAATCCTGCTCCATTTCTATCGCGTACATCTCAGTTTTTTATAAAAGAACAGTTTTATATTTAGTTAGCGACAACAAGAGTGATACATTTTTCTATCTCTGTTTGTACAAGTGCCAGATATTTAAAGTTGTTACAGCCCGTGTCTGAGCAGAGGACCTTCCAACTAAATCAACTCAAGGAGGTCTAAAGAGTGGGAGGGAAGGAGAGAATAAGAGAGAGTGGAGATGATGATCATGCATCATCGACTGCACCTGCGCTGCTTTTTCCTCTGGCAGTAATAAAATAAAAGGTGGAGCAATGAAATGGATAAAATACAGGATTAATTCATTCAAAATGATCAAACAGAGTTACAAATATAAAAGTTCTATCAACATAATAAATGTGACTGTGTTGGTATTTCCAGAAGTACTAATGACTTAACACTAGTTTATTTTGGGATCAGTGTTTGTAAATACTTAAAGCTTTTTTGCTTTGGACAAAAATTTTAAAACCTCATGCAGAAGAGGTCTGAGATGGACACCAGACTGGGCACTAATATGTTTCCATGTAATTAGATCTATAGTGAACAGCTTTAAACCCAGATGTAAAAACTCTTGAGACAAATTCAGGATATATCAGATCTGTTCACTACGTCCCCAATAAGAGGCAGTTTGGTACACTGGTGTCCATATTTGATTGACGTATGAATACTGAAGAATCCCTAACCTGATGATAGACATCAAAACATAGTGGAGAAATAAACACTGGGAACTTAAAAGTATCCTTGTATAAAGTACCTCAAAGTATCTTAACATGAAATTATTTTGGTAAAAGTTAAAGTCTTATCTAAGAATATTTCTTGAGAAAAAGGCAGCCCATGGGCTGTATTTGGTA